GAGTTCTCTCTAGAGTTTCGGGTAGCTGATCAAGTGACGGCGCCTTGTAGTCTTAGCACCTAGGTAGTCAAATACCTAGGTTACAAGGTGTTGAACGAGAGAGGCTGCCTTAGGAACTCTGGAGGTGCTCTAGAATAGTTAGCTAACTGGGGACGGGATAACGGACTAGAGAGAGCTGTTTCCCCCGGCTTCGTTAGTTAACTGGGGGTGGAATAATGGACAAGATAGAGCTATTTCCCCCACCCCCCGTTACAATGTTGGCAGCGGTGTTGAACAATGTTGTAGGTAGTTGGTGTTCTTTTAACATTGTTCAGTCCCACGTGTCTTTTGCCGCTCAGGCGCTATCAGGGAGATCTTGACAGGTGTTTTACTTTCGCGATTTAGCGAGTTTTTTTCAGGCTAGGAGATAGTGATTCTCTGGTGTTGTGTTTAGTGATTTTGTGAGTTTTGTGGTGTTCAGGGAATGTTCACCAGAACTTGCGTGTGTAGTGATTAATGTTAGTGATAAGATTTGGTGATTTGGGAACTTAGCGGTGTTGGTAGTGCAGGTCAGCTGAGTGTGACAGGTGACCTCGCATGTCCCACGGGGACACCCAGCCACCGCTGGTCTCCAGGTCAGTGGGGAGTGGCAGGTGTAGTTCTTAAATAGATTTTAAGTAGTTTTTAGGTTCTGCTCAGATTATTGCGATCGACTGTTTTACTCCATTTGAACGCAATAACCCGAGGTGTACTGGTCTTGTACAGCATGCTAGGGGGAGCCTTAGTATGTCAGTAGACTTCACGTTGGGGACGCTCGACGTTAGATAGTCTGGTCACAGGGGTGGCAACAGTTTGGAGTTGTTGACCGGCGGAGATGCTAGGGAAACACTCTGGGTCACGTAGGTGGCTGTAGGTTAAGGGTGGGAGTAACGGTTAATTATGTACTTAAGATTAGGAAAGGTATAGTTAAGTTTAGGCTAGTGTTTTGTCTATTAGTTTTGATTTTTTTTTGTGACAAGTTAAAAGTAGTGATGACCTTATTCTCTCTTCTCTAACTTTCCTCTGTTACTGTCTTATGTTCCACCAAGTCAATATCATTCAGAGTTAATTGGATTATTTTTAAAAAAATTTAAGTGTAGTTGTTGCCAGGAGGAGAGCGGTATAACTGGACTGTGTAAACCCTATACAAACTACAGGGTCACACAACAGCATGGAACACGGGTATTGTCGCCTTTATGTTCAATTCACAGGTGGGAGCCAGAGGAGAGGCGCGACGCATATACAGAAGAGGGAGACGGCTGCTGTGTACCACACTCACGGGCGTTTATCACCACCACCACGACCAGTCCACTACCTGGAGGTCATGGTCACCACCACCACCACCCCAGGGGACCCCAAGATGCAGCCCTCTCGGTCGGTCAACATTGGTCTACCCAGTGGACCCCAGGACGGACGGACCCCAGGACGGACCCCCAGTGGACCCCAGGTCGTTCTGCAGACGACCCCAGACGACCCAGTAAAGATGGAAGAGGAGCAACAACGACTCCAGTCTGTCCCACCAACATCGGTCTACCCAGGATGGACCCCAGGACGGACGGACCCCAATGGACCCCAGGTCGCTTGTCAAAGACCCATGGGAGGAGGAAGAGAGAAGAAAGAAGAGAGAAGAAGGAAGAGAAGAAAGAAAGAAGAGAAAGAAAGAAGAAGAAGAAGAAGAAGATAAGACAAGCTGAGTGAGACACGATGCCTCGTGTCCCTTGCTGGTATCAGCATCATTGCATGGAGCGTAATTGCAAGACAGGATCGTTTGCCTTAACTGGCCGCCCCTCCTGCAAGCATGTTGCTCTGTTGAGTGATTCTTCCTGTGTCATGCGGACTTGATGTGGCTGTCAGAAGTAGCTCTCTGAAGGAGGCGTGCTGGAGCAACAGGGAGGAAGAAGAGTAGGATGGGATTTCTACTGTTGGCAACTATATGAAGGTCTCGAAACTTGTAGTCCCTATAGCTGTGAAGAACCCCAATATACGTCTCTCATGGTGACTGACGTAGGGCCAATTACAGATCAGCTGGGACAACCGAATTCCACGGTCCTGTGCGCAGTTCAAGTAGTAACGGCTTTCGGGTTGACCAAGGGTTGTTGTGCGTTAACGACGGAGAAGCGACGGAGGCAGTTGTGTTGAAGAAATGTGGTACAGGATTATCTACAAGACCAAGCAGTGACGTCGCCCAGCCAGAGACAATGGACGTCTGTCTACATATTTCATTTTTTTAGAGTAGGATGATGTATATTTGTTTAGCTAGGATGTATTTTTTTTTCGTTAATAAAGTTGTTGCACACAGCTAGCTTGCTTTAGCAGTGTTGCAAAAACTTTATTTCGGGGAGAAGGGGAGATGTAACACTGTAAAAGTGTTTGGGTTAGTTTATTTAAAATATATATAGAGTACACGAGTCACAGACAAGGATCTGAGAGGCGCCAGTTGTCTGCCTGAGATCTCACACCTCTAACCGTTAATGACCCCAAGTGACCTGAGGTCAGATCATGAGAATTTCACCTTGCTTCCGCTAAGCGTATAATTGGAGCCGGGTAGCCTTCAAACATGCCGACGTTTAAGGAGTGGCTTGGTAGTGCCGGAGGCTATCTATTTGTGGGCGGAGTTAGCTACTAGGTTCCCCAATATAAACTCGGAGAGCTATCGAGCATTAAGCATTAACAGACAGAGCAGCAGACGAGCCAGGAGAGCAGAGAGAAGACAGCCCTACCAGGGAGGCTGTCGGCCGGCAGGGCGGGAGTCTCCGTCAACTACAAACCCCCCCCCCCTCTCTATTCAACTTAGACTCAGTCCTCGGTGAGTGAACATTAAGGTGACTTGTCGTGTTGTACAAGTGTTGTGTGACGATCAGGGGCAGTCAAGTTGTAGGGTTCTCGAATTCTTGGATGATGACTCACTTTGCATATTAAACTGGAACATTTTAATTGAATTGCCAAATTATGATACTTCATGTGAAATATAATTATGAATTTATTATTTAAATTGTGTTTAACTTTGTTCCCTAGAGCTTTGAGTTGAGGATTTGAGAAAGCCTCTGTGGTTACTGGGTTCATGATATAAATGAGTACATGTTTGGAGTTGATACATGGTACAGAGGGAACATACTAATAATGAACTGGTAATAACATCTTTTGAGAATATTTTGATACAGGCAAGTTCCATTCCTTGTCTTGTATGTAATGATCATGAATGGATGGTGGCAGCATTTCTTCTTCTACTATCCACTCTTCTACTTCTACTATCTACTCTTCTACTTCTACCTATCTACACCTCTCCTTCCACCCTTCTCTAAACTCTCACTTTCAACTAATGACCCTCCTTGCCCCTCCCACCTCTCTGCCTCTCACCCCAAACCCTCTCTAATTACTTCACTATTCATTTTTTTCCTTTCGTTATCTCTTTTACGTTTGAGGCAATGATTCTGTATTCTAGAGTTTTTCTCTGGAGTTTCGGGTAGCTGATCAAGTGACGGCGCCTTGTAGTCTTAGCACCTAGGTAGTCAAATACCTAGGTTACAAGGTGTTGAACGAGAGAGGCTGCCTTAGGAACTCTGGAGGTGCTCTAGAATAGTTAGCTAACTGGGGACGGGATAACGGACTAGAGAGAGCTGTTTCCCCCGGCTTCGTTAGTTAACTGGGGGGTGGAATAATGGACAAGATAGAGCTATTTCCCCCACCCCCCGTTACAATACTGGTAGGAGCAACGCAACTGGTATGTACAGGATGTGCAGAATACCCCCGTTGAAAAGCAGAGGTGCAGCAGGTACTCTGAGAGAGAACTCTATCAACATCAGAGGCCAGAGACTGTTCAACATGCTTTCACTACACATAAGGGGCATAACTAGCAAACCCCTCACAGTGTTCAAGAGAGAACTGGATAAGCACCTCCAAAGGATACCTGATCAGCCAGGCTGTGACTCATACGTCAGGCTGTGAGCAGCCGCGTCCAACAGCCTAGTTGATCAGCCCAGTAACCAGGAGGCCTGGTCGACGACCGGGCCGCGGGGACGCTAAGCCCCGGAAGCACCTCAAGGTAAGGTATCATGAATCCCAATAAGTGGACGCAGTGTCCCATTACCTCTGATACTGGATAAGCACAATCATGGTACACACCATGGTACTGGTCCACGTCAATTTAAAAATTGAAATTTAATATTTTAAGGACAGTGTTAACCAGATGACTGAAGCCTCGCACAGTGATACCATATCTCTTGCAAAACTTTAAAAAAAAACTAAGTTTTATTACCATTATTTATTTAATATGTTAATCCAAAAGTTACTGTCATCATTCAAGTACTATGATATTTTTTTTTTTTTTTTTTTTTTTTTGAGATATATATATATATATATATATATATATATATATATATATATATATATATATATACATATATATATATATATATATAATATATATATATATATATATATATATATATATATATATATATATATATATATATATATATATATATATATATATATATATATATATATATATATATATACAAGAGTTGTTACATTCTTGTACATGAGTTTAAAAGTCTAACGAAACTCTGAAGCCGAAGAAAAATGTTAAGTGATTGTAATTTACTGACATAAATTTTTGATTGAATTTGATGACTTATTATTAATACTGCAGCGCTGCCAAGGAGCCGGGAAAAACTCTCTTATCTTTACCCAAATCTCGTAGCAACATTAATTTGACTCAGTGATACTAACAAATATTATTTTGGGGACATTCCAGCATCAGAATGCTTCAAGTACTCTAATTAAGCTTTGTAAACACCCAGCTTACCTATCATGTACTGCAAGGTATATACACAGCGCCCTGGTACGATCTTCTCCATCAAAACATCGCTATTCTCCTTTAACCGGAAATTATCTCGTAATACACTTCCTTCGAATTTGTTCCTCCTCGTAATTCCTTATCCTTCCTTATCTTCTTCCTCCTTCCTTATCTTCCTCATCCTCAGATCTTCTCTGTTGTCTAGTGTGTTATCAGAGATAAGAGAGACCGGTGGTGGCAGGCGTCAGTATGGTCCTGATTGTGGTCGTGGGAGGACGCTCCGCCCGCCGTCAGGTAGGAATTATTCGTCTGTAACAATGGTTGATTTGCCAGTACCATGGTGTGACCAGTACCATGGTGTGACCAGTACCATGGTGTGACGTTGACCAGTACCATGGTGTGACGTTGACCAGTACCATGGTGTGACGTTGACCAGTACCATGGTGTGACGTTGACCAGTACCATGGTGTGACGTTGACCAGTACCATGGTATGACGTTGACCAGTGCCATGGTGTGACGTGGACCAGTACCATGGTGTGACGTGGACCAGTACCATGGTGTGACCAGTACCATGGTGTGACCAGTACCATGGTGTGACGTTGACCAGTACCATGGTGTGACGTTGACCAGTACCATGGTGTGACGTGGACCAGTACCATGGTGTGACCAGTACCATGGTGTGACGTGGACCAGTACCATGGTGTGACCAGTACCATGGTGTGACCAGTACCATGGTGTGACGTTGACCAGTACCATGGTGTGACGTTGACCAGTACCATGGTGTGACGTGGACCAGTACCATGGTGTGACCAGTTCCATGGTGTGACGTGGACCAGTACCATGGTGTGACGTGGACCAGTACCATGGTGTGACGTGGACCAGTACCATGGTGTGACGTGGACCAGTACCATGGTGTGACGTGGACCAGTACCATGGTGTGACGTGGACCAGTACCATGGTGTGACGTGGACCAGTACCATGGTGTGACGTTGACCAGTACCATGGTGTGACGTGGACCAGTACCATGGTGTGACGTGGACCAGTACCATGGTGTGACGTGGACCAGTACCATGGTGTGACGTGGACCAGTACCATGGTGTGACGTTGACCAGTACCATGGTGTGACGTGGACCAGTACCATGGTGTGACGGCATGGTCTGGCAGACTGGAGATGGTAGTTATCACTTGATGGCGGCTGTTGGTGTGAGATAACAATGCCCTTGACTATGATAGCAACAGTGACGATATGTCTGTTTGTCTAGCAACAGTAACGACGCGTCTGTTTGTCTAGATTTTGCTAGAGGGGGCTAATAGACCAGTCTTTCATCATATGTTTTCGCTTAATTTAGTCAAGAATAGATTTTTTTCTATTGAGGGTTGTATTTCACCCATGTATGACAAACTATCCTGTGAAATAGGAATATTTGATGAACTTATAGCTAGTTGTTGATCTACACTGTGTAAACTTTTTGGCAGTCTCCGTGGTGTAGTGGTAAGACACTCGCCTGGCGTTCCGCGAGCGCTATGTCATGGGTTCGTATCCTGGCCGGGGAGGATTTACTGGGCGCAATTCCTTAACTGTAGCCTCTGTTTAACGCAACAGTAAAATGTGTACTTGGATGAAAAAACGATTCTTCGCGGCAGGGGATCGTATTCCAGGGACCATAGGATTAAGGACTTGCCCGAAACGCTACGCGTACTAGTGGCTGTACAAGAATGTAACAACTCTTGTATATATCTCAAAAAAAAAAAAAAAAAAAAAATATATATATAGAACAGGATATTGAAACTGAAATTGAAATAAGTTTATTGAGGTAAAATACACACAAAGGGATGAGGTAGCTCAAGCTATACTCACCCCGTTCAGTACAACGTGTTAATATATACATAGACACACATCACAAACAATAAACATATTACCGAATATTCTGAGAGATAAACATATGGAACAGGTGTAGCAGCATTTTACTGTGTATACCTAAGCTTGTTAATAAAAAAAATGGTAGGAGAGGGCCGGCCCGCCAAACACACACCGAAACTACGACGTTGGTACAACGTTCGAGCAAGTTTTAACACTTCCTAACCAGTTATAACAACCAATATAGCAAGTTGTAACAACGTTCTAATACGTCATAAACACGTTAAGCCAAGATGTAACAACTTTATTTCAAGTTGTAACAAGCGGAAAATAGAGACAGTTTCGGTTTGTGTTTCCAGGGGGAGAACTTCTCTGAGATATTTTTTTCTCTCTCAGATAAGGAGTTCGTCTCTTTCTGAGATGGAGAACCTTTGGAGATTTAGAACTCAAATGTTTAAAGATTTATATCTCTACAACTAAATGGTAGCACAGTCTTATAGAAGTTCATATATTATATTCTGACTATATCTTTATTTATATTATTCCTTAGAGTTTTTTGTCGTACTAATATCGTAGGCACTAGCTGAACCGGTTTTATTAAAAAAAATATATATATAGTAAGTATTTATGTAGTATTTATTATAAAACCATTAAATACATGACGGCACTACATTACAATAGAGGCGTTTTTATATAACAAATTAGCTTCTATACAAAATAAGTTCATATTTATTTACTTATTATCTGAGGAACTGGAGGAACTCAACAACCTGTGACGAGTAGCCTCGTAACCAATGTTTTAACCCTTTTTGTGTAATGAAATTTTGATATATATATATATATATATATATATATATATATATATATATATATATATATATATATATATATATATATATATATATATATATATATATATATATATATATGACAATGTCAGACCACGGAGGAAAATGAAACAGGAATTTCCTTAAGTACTTTCGTATATTAAATACATCTTCAGAAGGAATCCTTCTGAAGGAATCCTTCTTTGATTCCTTCTGAAGATGTATTTAATATACGAAAGTACTTAAGGAAATTCCTGTTTCATTTTCCTCCGTGGTCTGACATTGTCATATATATATATATATATATATATATATATATATATATATATATATATATATATATATATATATATATATATATATATATATATATATATATATATATATATAGAAATAACCTCTCGTGAAAGGTTCAAGCCTTAGACTGACAGGGGCAGTGAACCCCTTGACAAGTCCAGTACTCTGACCACCGGACAATTAAAAGACACTGGTGGCCGAAGCTATTTCTTCGAATAACCCAATTGCACTAGATAGCCAGAAACCAGGAATTCGTTTTCATTGACACAATTCAATTCTGATATAATCGCCTCCTTGTCTGATATAAACTTCCTTTTTGTTACTCATCCCCAGGAAGCAGCCCATAGCAGCTGTCTAACTCCCTGGTACCTATTTACTGCTAGGTGAATATGGGTATCAGGGTGAAAAAAATCTGCCCATTTGTCTCCACCTCTGCCAGGGATCGAACCCGGAACCTTAGGACTTCGAATACTTGCAGATAACAGGCAGCAATTTTTTTTTAATTATGACAGAATCGTATGTCTGGCAGCAGTGATAGAATCGTATGTCTGGCAGCAGCAGCATGGCGGGGCGGGCAGCGCGGGGCAGAGCGCGCGGCCGGCAGCGTCTGCCTCCAGAACAAGACACTAACCCATTGCGCAGACCTGGACAGGTACTGGACCAAATGCTTTCGTTATATATATAATATTTGCTGTCATATAAATATATATATGTAAAAGAGAATGTCTAGATGCAAGTCTTGTCTGTCTGTCCAAGGTTGAAGGTCAGATGGTTTGGGGTTAGCCCCTCCCAACTTTGCAGGGGGGAAGGGGCTGGGGTATGGGACGGACATGAGCTGATCAGGGGGTCGTCAGAATTCAAGAGGGAAGAGCATACTGCAGTCGTATACTGCACATACTGAGCCTCACGACTGATTTAGGCACTGCCTGCCAACACCACAGGGCTAAATATTTGTAAAATATAAATGTCTAAGCTTAAATAGTAAAATAAAAAATCATTCTTTGCCCTTAGCAGCATAAAACAGATGAACCACAGCTTCTAAAAACTTTATCAAGCCCTGTCCCCTTTCTCAAAACTAAAGGAACTATTATATTTTCGTAAATATTTCACATCACTATATAGGCTCCTCCCCCCAGCAGATCACTTGCATGCCAATGGGAAACTGTATTATTATTTGCATAAGAACATCTAATTTTTCTTTGCTCTGTATATGGATAGAAAGATGAGTAGGTGCATGGATGGATAGATGAATTGGTATATAGATGGATGAATAGATATCTTAAAAACTAGATGGATAGATAGATTAAAAGCTATATGGATAGATTCATTGATGGATGCACATATGGATTGATAATTAGATAGATGGACATATGGATGGACTGATAATTGGATGGATGTATAGATGGATGGATAGGTAGAGGGACAAATGGATAGATAGATGAACTTATTGATAGATAGATAGATCGGTGGATATGGATATATGGATGGCTTGATGGACGGATAGGTTAATAGATAGACGGATCGATGTAATGTTGAAGAGATATATTTTTCAATAGATTGATGGACAGATGACACACACACACACATATATATATATATATATATATATATATATATATATATATATATATATATATATATATATATATATATATATATATATATATATATATATTAGTATATTTTGGTAGCAGTCTTTCCTGTAGACATATATTATTAAATATGACCGAAAAAGTAAGATTAATAATTCTAACACGAATTTTCTCAATCTTTCGTACATTTCTTTCAATTCTCCAAAATTCATTTTTATTTCTAGTCTGACGTGACACTTGAGCGCGTTTTGTAAAACTTATTACATTTTCAAAGACTTTTGTTTAAACATACACAACTGAATAGAACTTACACATCTCCGATTTGTTTATATCTACATTTGAGTGAGGTGGATGGGGTGAGGTGGTATTTAATAAGGTATTAATTTCATCAACACAAGACAGAACACGAAACAATGGGTATTGAATGGAAGTGATTGTAGAAAGCCTATTGGTCCATATTTCTTGATGCTTCTATATTGGAGCGGAGTCTTGAGGTGGGTAGAATATAGTTGTGCATTAATTGGCTGTTGATTGCTGGTGTTGACTTCTTGATGTGTAGTGCCTCGCACACGTCAAGCCGCCTGCTATCGCTGTATCTATCGATGATTTCTGTGTTGTTTACTAGGATTTCTCTGGCGATGGTTTGGTTGTGGGAAGAGATTATATGTTCCTTAATGGAGCCCTGTTGCTTATGCATCGTTAAACGCCTAGAAAGAGATGTTGATGTCTTGCCTATATACTGGGTTTTTTGGAGCTTACAGTCCCCAAGAGGGCATTTGAAGGCATAGACGACGTTGGTCTCTTTAAAAGCGTTCTGCTTTGTGTCTGTAGAGTTTCTCATGAGTAGGCTGGCCGTTTTTCTGGTTTTATAGTAAATCGTCAGTTGTATCCTCTGATTTTTGTCTGTAGGGATAACGTTTCTATTAACAATATCTTTCAGGACCCTTTCCTCCATTTTATGAGCTGTGGAAAAGAAGTTCCTGTAAAATAGTCTAATAGGGGGTATAGGTGTTGTGTTAGTTGTCTCTTCAGAGGTTGCATGGCGTTTCACTTTCCTTCTTATGATGTCTTCGACGAAACCATTGGAGAAGCCGTTGTTGACTAGGACCTGCCTTACCCTACAGAGTTCTTCGTCGACTTGCTTCCATTCTGAGCTGTGGCTGAGAGCACGGTCGACATATGCGTTAACAACACTCCTCTTGTACCTATCTGGGCAGTCGCTTTTGGCATTTAGGCACATTCCTATGTTCGTTTCCTTAGTGTAGACTGCAGTGTGGAAACCTCCACTCTTTTCCATGACTGTTACATCTAGAAACGGCAGCTTCCCATCCTTTTCCATCTCGTAAGTGAAAAGCAGCACGGAACTCCGCTCAAATGCCTCCTTCAGCTCCTGCAGATGTCTGACATCAGGTACCTGTGTAAAAATGTCGTCAACATACCTGCAGTATATGGCCGGTTTCAAGTTCATGTCGACATGAACTTGAAACATGTTCATGTTTCAAACCAGAAAAACGGCCAGCCTACTCATGAGAAACTCTCCAGACACAAAACAGAACGCTTTAAAAGAGACCAACGTCGTCTATGCCTTCAAATGCCCTCTTGGGGACTGTAAGCTCCAAAAAACCCAGTATATAGGCAAGACAACAACATCTCTTTCTAGGCGTTTAACGATGCATAAGCAACAGGGCTCCATTAAGGAACATATAATCTCTTCCCACAACCAAACCAGCGCCAGAGAAATCCTAGTAAACAACACAGAAATCATCGATAGATACAGCGATAGCAGGCGGCTTGACGTTTGCGAGGCACTACACATCAAGAAGTCAACACCAGCAATTAACAGCCAATTAATGCACAACTATATTCTACCCACCTCAAGACTCCGCTCCAATATAGAAGCATCAAGAAATATGGACCAATAGGCTTTCTACAATCACTTCTATTCAATACCCATTGTTTCGTGTTCTGTCTTGTGTTGATGAAATTAATACCTTATTAAATACCACCTCACCCCATCCACCTCACTCAAATGTAGATATAAACAAATTGGAGATGTGTAAGTTCTATTCAGTTGTGTATGTTTAAACTAAAGTCTTTGAAAATGTAATAAGTTTTACGAAACGCGCTCAAGTGTCGCGTCAGACTAGAAATAAAAATGAATTTTGGAGAATTGATTTTTGAATCACCACCAACAGTGAAAAGAAATGTACGAAAGATTGAGAAATTTCGTGTTAGTATTATTAATCTTACTTTTTCGGTCATATTTAATAATAAATATATATATATATATATATATATATATATATATATATATATATATATATATATATATATATATATATATATATATATATATATATATATATATATATATATATATATATATATATATATATATATATATATATATATATATATATATATATATATATATATATATATATATATATATATATATATATATATATATATATATATATATATATATATATATATATATATATATATATATATATATATATATATATATATATATATATATATATATATAGTTGAATAAATAGACGTTGTCGCTGATAATGATGAAGATATTAAGCCAGCACAAGAGGTTGATACCTGGTTGATACCTGGTTGATACCTGGTTGATACCTGGTTGATACCTGGTTGATACCTGGTTGATACCTAGTTGATACCTGGTTGATACCTGGTTGATACCTGGTTGATGGGGTTCTGGGAGTTCTTCTACTCCCCCAAGCCAGGGCCGAGGCCAGGCTTGACTCACGGGTGTGTGTGTATAACCCGAAGGTGGTAGAGTTATATAGAGTGAATGGTATCTGGCTGGCGTAACATCTTGACATGTCTCTGGGCCCCTGGGTGTAATGTAAGTCATGTGTGCTGGCTGCACATATGGTTGGCTGAGTGTGTGTGGGTTTGACGTGTAGTACTTCGTGGACGCCTTCTATAAATCTTGGAATTTTCAGGTATTTGTATAACGCAGTCTATGGGACCAATTAGCTTTTTCGTGTGATATAAATACATTAATATTTTGTTAAGATATTCGAGTGGATCCAGTTTCCTGCATGTTGCACAGGATGAACTTGAGAGGCAGATGATCAACTTGCATCTGCAAGGAGACCAAGACAGACAGAGAGGAGGAAGCAGTAGTGAAGGAGCAGGAAGAGGAGGCAGTGATGGCAGAGGAGGAAGAGGCAGCAGAGGACGAGGGGAAAGCAGAGGTCGAGGTCGAGGGGGAGCCACTAGAGAGGGATTCGATCCCCTTCAGGCGATGAGCAACACGAAGGAGTGTGTCGTGTGGACCCGACCCCAGCATGTTACAGACAAGAAAGGTCAGTCGGGAGGTCACATAAGGTCACTGTGTGTTAGAGAAGGTCACTGTGTGAGTCAGAAAAGGTCAGTATATGGGTTAAACACAATTGGTCATCTGTCAAGAAAGGTAGGTGTCTGTCTCAAAATGTTTAGCGTCTCCCAGTAAAGATCATTGTGAGTGATCGAAAAGGTCCGTCCATGAGAAGAGATCATTTATGCCAGATTAGAACGCTGGTATACCAGATTAGAACACTGAAAGGCCAGATTAGAACACTGAAAGGCCAGATTAGAACACTGGAATGCTAGATTAGAACGCTGGAATGCCAGATTAAAATGCTGGAAACATTCTGAACACTCTGTATCCCACTCCTAGACGAGGCCCTGTGATTGCTCTCATTATATTCAGTCGTGATTTGGCCTTCTCCTTCAGACTAACCACTTGGAGCTGGATGGTAGAGCGACAGTCTCACTTGCAGGTCGGCGTTCAATCCCCGACCGTTCAAGTGGTTGGGCACCATTCCTTTCCCTCGTCCCATCCCAAATACTTATCCTGTCCCTTTCCAAGTGCTATATATAGTCGTAATGGCTTGGTGCTTTCTCCTGATAGTTCTCTTCAGATACTAAATGTTGTTGTCATTTGTTGAATATCATTTTAGAATCAATCCACACTCCGAGATATTTTTTTTTTTTTTTTTTGAGATATATACAAGAGTTGTTACATTCTTGTACAGCCACTAGTACGCGTAGCGTTTCGGGCAAGTCCTTAATCCTATGGTCCCTGGAATACGATCCCCTGCCGCGAAGAATCGTTGTTACAACCAAGTACCCATTTTACTGTTGCGTTAAACAGAGGCTACAGTTAAGGATTTGCGCCCAGTAAATCCTCCCCGGCCAGGATACGAACCCATGACATAGCGCTCGCGGAACGCCAGGCGAGTGTCTTACCACTACACCACGGGGACTGCGTATTGGTATTGTGTAACCCACTGAAGATTTATGTCTTGAATGTGTAGGTGTCTGTCTGGAGTGTTTTCATCTACTCTCACTGCCTTAGACTTCGTGCAGATATTTTTAGCTCCAAAATGCTGCATTCAGATGTTACTTTATCTAACCCCCCTTGTGATGTATTCAAAAGTGAAGGAGCTGTAATGACAAATGCTATATCATCAGTATGACTTAGCCATTAAATCCCCTTCAAATGTCATGGTAACATTTTCAATAAGGAAGTTGTAAAGACTAGGGTTAAGGTCTTATTGTGAAGTCCTCATGAAGAGTACGTCACATTTTGATGTATAAATCCCCCTAAGGCCAAAAACTGACGTACTAAAAATCATAGCGGCTCGCAAAACTGATATGACGTCCTGTATTCTATTCGTGGGGCCCTCACTTAGCTTAGGTTCGGGTAATTTAGTACGTTAGTTAAGTGACGCTGTGAATGCCAGAGAGGACGGGGTGCGTTCTGGCGTATCGGTGACTGAAGTAATCTTCAATTCAGGTTACCAGTTTTCCCCCTTTACACCTTTTTAGATTAAGGTTAGTAAAATTACTTGGAATTTGCTTAAAATTGCATAAAACATGTGATCTGTGTATCTGGAACTGTGTGTTTGTTGTTTGGTTTGTTTGTAAATATTCTGTTTTAACCTTAACAAGACAAAAGAGGCACTAGAAACGTCACAAGCATTCTAAATTAATGATGAATATAGAAGGTCTACATTACTTAAGATGCCTATCACTCACCGTCCTCCCATAACCACTTGGGCTGGGCGGTAGAGCGACGGTCTCGCTTCTTGCAGGTCGGCGCTCAATGTTCGACCTTCCAAGTGGTTGGGCGCCATTCCTTTCATCCGTCCTATTTATAAATCCTTATTCTGATAGCCCTTCCAAGTGCTGCATAGTCGTAATGGCTTAGTGTTTTCTCCTGATAATTACTTTGCCTCACCATCCATCCAGCCAATGGTATCCATCCAACCATCCACACACTCTGTGTGTGACTATCCCTTGCATCTCATCTACCCTCACACACTGTGACTATCCCTGGCAACTCATCTAATCCCCAGACACTCTGTATCATGAAAAATTCTATCCAAGAGAGAGACTATCCCTATTGACTATCCTACAGGCACCTCGGGCCAGCCAATCATCCTCCGAGCGAACTACTATGAGGTTCAGGCCACACCAGACTGGGCCTTGTGCATGTATCACGTGGTCTTTTGCCCTGATGAGGTGAGGACCAGGGTGAGGAAGGTACTTCTCCGGCAACATTCTCAGGCTCTTGGGAACTACGTCTTCGATGGTAACCAGCTTTACCTCGCTCGCAAACTCCCGCTAAATGTGAGTGTGTGGTAGTGGTGTTGGTGGTGAGTAGTTTAAAGTACGCCTAGAGCCGACCCTTCCTTTCAGAGGTCGGTTCCAGGCATACCTTTTTGCCCATGAGCCCCTATAGAGGTCGGCTTCTGTCGTATTTTTTTCCGTCAACCTTGGTATGAGACGGCTTCCGTCATCTCTAATTTTATATGAGGTCATCAACCAGTCTTCATCCTCTCTCAATAAATCCGTTTTCAATGATTACATATTAAATCCCATTTTCAATCATTTATTATTAAATCTCATTTTCAATAATTTATTATTAAATCCAATTTTCAAAGATTAATTGTTTCTACCATATTGTTAGTATAAAAATTTTATATTAAGCATAAGATTGAAATTCCAGAAGGTCTATTGGCAACCATACAGCATCCACTATTTATATCCACCCATACTCATTCATATATATAAACTACTTTTAAGAAATAAACTTCAGAAGGCCTATATATAAGATAGTGATGAATGTTCACAGATCTGTATCTAAACAAGTCTTTACTAATGTTACATAAATACCCTAATGGTATCCCCTTATACCGATTCATCCACTTTAATTATGTCACCTATATAAAACTGAAGGTCCTATTATTAGCCCCTTCATATACCCATTAATTCACTTGTACACTTTAATTATGTTACCTATCTTAGAGATGATACGCTGAAGGCCCAGTTAACACTTATTACACTGATTTATTCACTTGTACATTTGACTCTTCGCCTATTTGTTCCATTTTTTATTTTTTAGTAACTAGTAAAAGACTAATTAAATTGCGTGAAATATTGGTGTTGTTGTTGTTGTCCCAGCCAAAAATTGTGTATTTGTATCTAATATTTTTTAAATGGATACTCAAAATATTGATTAGTTGAAATGAGAATGAATGATACTGTATATCTCCTATTCATATAAAGTAAAGCAGATAACACAGCAGTTAGACCGACAAGTGCATTACTCGTTTAGTATTAAAATTTCCAAGTCAACCACAAAGATCATGGCGCAATGCTCGTTAAAATCTCTAACCTAGCATCAAACACATATGTTGACCAGACCACATACTAGAAGGTGAAGGGACGATGACGTTTCGGTTTGTTCTGGACCATTCTCAAGTCGATTGTGAGAATCAGACACATATAGATAGATATAGATATATACAAGAGTTGTTACATTCTTGTACAGCCACTAGTACGCGTAGCGTTTCGGGCAGGTCCCTGGAATACGATCCCCGCCGCGAAGAATCGTTGTTACAACCAAGTACACATTTTACTGTTGCGTTAAACAGAGGCTACAGTTAAGGATTTGCGCCCAGTAAATCCTCCCCGACCAGGATACGAACCCATGACAAAGCGCTCGCGGAACGCCAGGCAAGTGTCTTACCACTACACCACGGAGACTATTATATATTTCAAACATATGCAATTTTCAGAAACAATCCATCTTGCAACACCCCTTTAGCATAAACATTGATTGATTGATGAAGATTAAGCATCCAAGAGGTGGCATAGGCATAAATAGCCCATAAATGGTAGATTTTTTGCCCGTGAAAGCGTAAGCACTCAGGCATTTCATTTTATCCTCACTTTCTGATAATTCCCTCCAAACCTCATTAATTCCTTCCAAAAAATCCTCACCGACCGAGTATAAGCACCAATTATATTGTCGTTATTTAATCTTACAATTATATTTATCAAGTCCATATATTTTTGTATTTCATTTATGCAAACCAAGATATATACGTTGCAGTTCCTAAAGAAGAGTAACAGTACAGAAGTACTGTACTCCTTACTGATTACTCTGTACTTACTCCTTCAGTAAGAAGGAGTACTCATCCTTCACAGGCCCTTCACTGCGGGCTAGTCAAAGGTGTTAATCTCACAGCGGAGTGACGTTACAGGCGACTGAATAAGGTCTTGTGCCCTTGCTAAGATTATTAACCCTACCTCACCCAATATAACCAACCTAACCTAACTAATCTAACCTAACCTAACCAATATCACCCAATCTAACCAAAGTAACCTAATCTAACCTAACCTAACCAATATCACCCAATCTAACCAACGTAACCTAACTTAACCTAACCAAACCTAACCTAACCTAACCTAACCTAGCCTAGCCTAACGCACACACACTTAAAGCATACATTAGAAGCATTACTCATTGTACTGGAATCTCCAAGCTAGCAGTAAAATATATATATATTATTTAAAATAAACACTGTTCTCATTAACATTACCTTACAAGCTTCTAGTTCAGTCATCTCCCTCTGCTTCAGCTGTGAGATGATTGAAAGATGTAAACGTTTTATACCAGTTTTTATAGTACTCTTGGAGTCACTCCAGATCGTATATATCCCAACTGCTAATGTTGTGATTATTTGGAGAGCTTGGAATAAGGAATATAATCAGCTGTGAAGATAGCTGGTTTGTTAACCACCATCCCAGCATAATTTAGTTCCCCTTTAAATTGTCATTCCAATGGGACTCTGCCAGCCGTCAGGGGGGCCTGACGGCTGAGCGGACAGCGCTTGGGCTCGTAGTCCTAAGGTTTCTGGTTCAATCCACAGTGGAGGCAGAAACAAATGGGCAGAGTTTCTTTCACCCTGATCACCTAGCAGTAAATAAGTACCTGGGAGTTAGACAGCTGCTATGGGCTACTTCCTGGGGATATGTAACAAAAAGGAGGCCTGGTCGAGGACCGACCCGTGGGGACGCTAAGTCCCGAAATAATCTCAAGATAACGTCTCATTCAAGAGCTTTCAAGTATGACCTTACATGTTTTGCTTCTCTGGTCCCTCAAGGTGTATTTTATATCTCTTCAGTCACTATTTTCAATCGTTGCTTCTGGTCTCCTATCATCACCCTCTCGTCGTCTCTAAACTGGTTGTTTTAAAGTCATCTTGGAACCTCTTTCTGAGTTCCTCACACACCTCCTTGTTGGTTTCTGTGAGAATACCCTCACTTGTTTTTTTCAACCTGATAACACAGTTTATTACTGCTGTTTTCTCCTAATATGGTTCATTACTGTTAATGATACAGACTGTGGGAGCACCAACGGGTCATTACCGTTAACAGTACTGACTGTGGGAATGGGTCATTACCATTAACAGTACTGACTGTGGGAGCACCAACGGGTCTTTACCGTTAACAGTACTGACGTCAGATCAACTAACGACACCTTCCCACCACAGCCGATGGAGTTGGCGTCGAAGCGACCAGACAACCAGGAGCCCTACACCGTCACCATCCGCTTCTTGAAGGAGATACCACCCTGCGACACCCAGTTCCTGCAGGTGGGTGCTGTGGCTTTACCTGTGTGTGGTAGTCTACACCAGTATGGTAATCTACACTACTACGTGTTAGTTAAGAGTTATATAGCCTCAGCTGTTGAGTAGTGTGGGAGCTCATACTCCTGCCTCGTACTGCCAAATGTGGTCCGTCCTGGACAGTTAATGGCAATAGTGGGTTGTGGGATGGCACAGCTCGACTTGTTTACAATGGCTGCCCTCCTTCTTCCTCCCGCTCTGAACATGTCCGGAATTGGTTCGTTTTATTTCGAGAGATGCCGCTTATTTAGTATATTTGACTACTGATTATTATTTAATATGTGATTAATAGCAATATTTTGTTCATTGTGTTACCAGTTCTGAGGCTGGAAGATGCTTAGTGTAACATTAGTCAGCTGAATTTTGTGACAAAAGCTGAACGTATCGGCCGTTCTCTATACTCTTTTTATGACTAACTAATGTATTTATTGACTACTTTAGCTAATGCAAATTAACAGCATTTTATGGCTGTTACATTAGAGTTTTTGTTTGGTGTGGGAATTTCCCACATAATTCTGGGGGGAGGGGGGGGGGTGACATGGGTCGAAGTTCAGTGTTGAGGACTGGTGAACACTTCATTGCTCCTCTTCAGAATTATGGTATATTGATTAAGTTTCATTTTGCACTGTTGTGCAGCAGTTCCTACAGGATGGATGTCCTATACTGGAGCTGCAGAGGAGGGAAGTCTTTGAATGACTTCATTTTCTGCTAGCTCCAAAGGAACTAATTTCTCTAGTGTTTTGAGACTAGCGGTGCCTTTGCACTTTACTTTCGTTATTCTCAAGACATCTTGGCTGTTTAGATGGACAGAGACTATACGGCCTCTGAGTGTGGACCGTCACTGTCCACCAGAACATCATCAGGTAGTAATTGAATTCTATTGTAAGAGTTGTTAGCCCCATAGTGATACTCCCTCGGAGCAGTTAGGTACTCTCGGGTCCAAACTACATCCTACCAATTGCTCTGGACAGATGTTTGTAACTCTAAAACAGGTTGTTCTCTGACTTTCAAAGGATCTTCGGGTTCCTCGTCAGCGAGGGACGCTAGTTGGGTTAAAGGTTCTCCATACATCTGATGAGATGAACTCAGTGGCTCACGTTGTGAGTTATCGTCAGAGAGGTAGATCAGTTGTCAGTTATTGACCCGAGATTCAATTTCCGAGACAACGTTTGGAGCTCTTGGAGATCGATTTTTTGGTGGTGTAAGGTTTGGTTAACTTAGGACAGGATCGACGGGCAGCAAACCTGTTTAAGCCCTGCATGAATGCCTTTGCACTCATATCAGGAGTAACTTCTAAATGTGCTCCTCTTGACGTGGCACAGGTGAACAGGCAAATGTATGCCTTCACATGGATTTTGTCTCTTGTGCCTGTCAATTATAACTCCTGTGTAGTCTACACCAGTGATCCCAAAAGAACGAAGGTGGACAACTCGTCCCTTAGGGGGTGGTGGAGGTCCTGGATAAGGACACTCCCGAGCGTTGTACTTCCGACCGACTACACAGGATTTGAGAAGGAACTTTACAGTCTAGCGTCCTTGAAGAAGCCAGTACTGTTGTCTCAATGCACTGAAGGGTATCTAGTACCCCCACCATGTAGGGTGCAGTGTCTGTGTATATATAATTCGATCAGCCCGCTTACCCAGTGGTTGTGGGGCAAAAACCACGAATGTTTAACTTCTAAATCAACATTTGCATGTTGTAAGTGCCTTCGCATTCCAAAATGTTGTCATAAGAGTCAATCCAGAGACGCAGATGATTAATGGTCTCAGCAGAGAGGTTCTCAAAGTCTTCCCCATAAGTTCAGATTTGGGCTTGCTTTACCCAATATATCAGAACATGAGGGGTATTTGTGTTTGATTCCTATTTCACTCAAGAAATCAAACACCCTCTGAGTGACTTTGAGTAATTTATTTAGATCAGAGTACTGAGTAGGATCAATTACCAAAGTCTGGGGGGTTCTAGAATTTCAATGGAAGCAGTGATATTGGTCACAATGACTTGTGGCTTTTGTTCAGGCTACTGGTCACTGACTGAACGTCAGTGAACGCAAGGCCTCTGGACAGATAGTCAGCAGGATTCTCTTTTGTGGTTACATATCAACATGTACCATATTGTAGGACAACATATCATTGGAGGATTATTAAGGCAACTAAAATAGTTGGGTGACCATCCAGCAAGTATACACTTCTCCTGAACACAGCTCAGAACTAAAGTAAACTCTCAGTGTATATATATACACAGAGAAGCAGGGTACACCACTCAGTGTATATACACTGAGAAATAGGCTACACCTCGCAATGTCTATAAATGCTCAATTTAATTTAACAAACTCGTTTTCTCTCTCATTTACCACACTTACACAATCATTCATAGCTTTATTTTGTAAACAAAACAAAAACTAGCTTACAATTAATTATGCTGAATAATGAATTTTTAATAATGAAATTTGTAGCGGAAATAGTAATACTATATTCTTGAATACCAGCCACACTATAATATTATATAAGAATATACTCTAATACTATATTCTTCAATACCATTAAGAATGTCATTTGTGGCGATGTTCTGTGTTGACAGATCTTCTCCATCTTACTGCGACGATGTTATGAACACTTGGGCATGACCCAGGTGGGCAGGCACTTCTACCAGAGCAGAGAGGAGGTCCAGAACCACAAGTACAGGTAGGTGGCTCTGTGGGCCGTGTGGGGGGCTCTATGGGCAGTGTGAGGAGCAATGTGGGGGCTATGTGGGCAGTGTGGGGGCTCTATGGGCAGTGTGGGGGCTCTGCGGGCAGTGTGGGGCTCTGTGGGCCGTGTGGGGGCTCTGTGGGCAGTGTGGGGTGCTCTATGGACAGTGTGGGGGCTCTGTGTGCAGTGTGGGGGGCTCTATGGGCAGTGTGGGGGCTCTATGGGCAGTGTGGGGCTCTGCGGGCAGTGTGGGGCTCTGTGGGCAGTGTGGAGGGCTCTGTGGGCAGTGTGGGGCTCTGTGGGCAGTGTAGGTGGCTCTGGGGGCAGCATGAGGGGCTCTATGGGTAGTGTGGGGTCTCTGGGCAGTGTGGGGGCTCTATGAGCAGTGTGGGGTTCTGTGTGCAGTGTGGGTGACTCTGTGGGCAGTGTGGGGCTCTATGGGCAGTGTGGAGGGCTCTGTGGGCAGTGTGGGGGCTCTATGGACAGTGTGGAGGGCTCTGTGGGCAGTGTGGAGGGCTCTGTGGGCAGTGTGGGGGCTCTATGGGCAGTGTGGGGGCTCTGTGTGCAGTGTGGAGGGCTCTGTAGGCAGTGTGGAGGGCTCTGTGGGTAGTGTGGGGGCTCTATGGGCAGTGTGGGGGCTCTGTGTGCAGTGTGGAGGGCTCTGTGGGCAGTGTGGAGGGCTCTGTGGGCAGTGTGGGGGCTCGATGGGCAGTGTGGAGGGCTCTGTGGGCAGTGTGGGGGCTCTATGGGCAGTGTGGAGGGCTCTATGGAAGCCGGTCGGCCGAGCGGACAACACGCTGGACTTGTGATCCTGTGGTCCTGGGTTCGATCCCAGGCGCCGGCGACAAACAATGAGCAGAGTTTCTTTCACCCTATGCCCCTGTTACCTAGCAGTAAAATAGGTACCTGGGTGTTAGTCAGCTGTCACGGGCTGCTTCCTGGGGGTGGAGGCCTGGTCGAAGACCGGGCCGCGGGGACACTAAAAAGCCCCGAAATCATCTCAAAATAACCTCAAGATAACCTAACCTCTATGAGCAGGGTTGGGGGGGGGTCTCTATAGGCAGTGTGGAAAGCTCTGAGGGCAGTGTGGGGGCTCTATGAGCAGTGTGAGGGCTCTGTGGGCAGTGTGAGGGTTCTGTGGGCAGTGTGGAGGGCTCTATGGGTAGTGCGGGAGGCTCTGTGGGCTGTGTGGGGGTCTCTGTGGACAGTGTTGGGGGCTCTGTGGGCAGTGTGGGGGCTCTGTGGGCAGTGTGGAGGGCTCTATGGGTAGTGTGGGAGGCTCTGTGGGCTGTGTGGGGGGGCTCTGTAGGCAGTGTGGGGGCTCTGTGGACAGTGTTGGGGCTCTGTGGGCAGTGTGGGGGCTCTGTGGGCAGTGTGGGGGCTCTATGGGCAGTGTGAGGGCTCTGTGGGCAGTGTGAAGGGCTCTGTGGGGGCTCTATGGACAGTTTGAAGCTCTATGAGCAGTCTGGAACTCTGTTAGCACTCAGGAGTTCTATGAGCAGTATTCTGGGGGTTAATTTAAATATTTATTTAATTTATATTAAAGTTTACTATATATATATATATATATATATATATATATATATATATATATATATATATATATATTTAAATTAACCCCCAGAATACTGTTCATAGAGCCCCTCATTTCTCATCTTAATGCTCCCTACTGCTCAAAGAACTCCAGACTGCTCTCAGAGCTCCAGACTGCTCATAGAACTCCAGACTGCTCTCAGAGTTCCAGACTGCTCAGTATTTTGTATTTTGTTTTATGAATTATGTAGTACGTAATATGAAGACAAAATAGTATTTTGTCTATGACGTGAAATAATTATTATAACTGAGGACAAGTTTTCATAGAATTCAGTTTAATAATTAATATTTAATAATTAGTCTTATAGATTTAAACGGAGGACGAATCCTCATAGATTTTATTTCATTAGTTTGGGTTAAATTTCTTTTGAAATATGTAGGGAATTATTTCCAACAGTATAGGGGCTCTGTGAGCAGTCAGGATCCCTGTGAGCAGAGTAGGGCTCTATGTGCAGTGTGGAGCTCTATGAGCAGTGTGGGGCTCTATGAGCAGTGTGGGGCTCTGTGAGCAGTCAGGATCCCTGTGAGCAGAGTAGGGCTCTATGTGCAGTGTGGAGCTCTATGAGCAGTGTGGGGCTCTATGAGCAGTGTGGGGCTCTGTGAGCAGTCAGGATCCCTGTGAGCAGAGTAGGGCTCTATGTGCAGTGTGGAGCTCTATGAGCAGTGTGGGGCTCTATGAGCAATGTAGAGCTTTGTAATCAGTGTGGGGCCCTTTGAGCTTTCCTTCTCCCCCACTAAGCCTCCGTCTCTGTCAAATATTGCCCCAACCACTTGGGGCTGGACGGTAGAACGACGGTCTCGCATCATGGAGGCCGGCGTTCAATCCCCGACCGTCCAAGTGGTTGGGCATCATTCCTTCCCGTCCGTCCCATCCCAAATCCTCTTCCTGACCCCTTCCCAGTGCTATATAGACGTGATGGCTTGACGCTTTCTTCCTGATAAGTCCCTCCCTTCTCCACTAGGGTGGCCATCTGGCCGGGCCAAGTCTCCAGCATCCGGCAGCATGAGTCTGGAGTCCTCATGGTGACGGACATCCTCCATAAGTTCCTCAGACTGGACACCGTCTACGACATCCTCAGGTCCATCAAGAACACCAGACCCGACAGTTTCGTGAGTCAGATGATCTGTAGTTTCCACCCACCCACTGGAAACAGTGGGTGGCATTGACCTGTTCATAGCTTTCCGAGGCAATGGCCAGTCTATCGTTTATCCTGTGTTGCGGAATGACATTCCTCCAGCAAACATCCATGAACACGAAGTTCTGGCTATGGTATTTGTTCATGCCGGAGCCGGTCGGCCGAGCGGACAGCACGCTGGACTTGTGATCCTGTGGTCCTGGGGTCGATCCCAGGCGCCGGCGAGAAACAATGGGCAGAGTTTCTTTCACCCTATGCCCCTGTTACCTAGCAGTAAAATAGGTACCTGGGTGTTAGTCAGCTGTCACGGGCTGCTTCCTGGGGGTGGAGGCCTGGTCGAGGACCGGGCCGCGGGGACACTAAAAAGCCCCGAAATCATCTCAATCAAATCAAATCATCTCAAGAAGATAGGGTCAGAGAGGGTCTAAATAGGGTCTGGTATATAAGTTGAATCTGATTCACGCATACTTTTATTTGTATTTATTCTGTGAATCAATATCTGAGCTACGGTGTGGGTGCCTGGATCTCTGGAACCCGAAGCTACCTCGGACATGATTATTTACCACAAATCATCAATGTGAACAATAACAGACTCTAAACTACAGCGAGAAAGTGGTTCAGTTGTGTGATGATTAAGTGCTGTAACGCCCTTTCTAGTGGCTTCAATAGTATTCAGTTAGTGTAGGATAATGTGTGACTGGTTAACCCTTTTGTGGGAGAACAATACTTTTGAAGCAACACTTATAAAACACTCACTTTATTAAACACTTGTAATTAATAGTATTCAGTAATTTAATCGCCTCAGAGACCAAGGTTCAGAGCAGTTACACCAAGAAAACCAAGACGGTGTAACCTCATAGCAAAGTAACATGGTCTGACCCCCGGGTCTAACCTCAAGGGTCATGTGAACGCTTAACAACCGATTTTAGAACGAAATAAAGACATTTTGTCTAAAATTTTGACATTTTAGCCTCTTGCCCTAAAGAAATCCCAAAGTTCCTCTAGGGCTTTCTGCGGGTTATTTTCATAACTTGTTATTCTTTTAATGTATAGGCTTCTTGCCCCACATTCCAGTCTATCTGGCTCACGGTATACTACCGCCATCAGATATACTCTGTGCATGGTATTGCTTCCCTTCGTCCGAATTAATACATTTTTCAAGTCCCTGTGTAGACCCTGACTATGATACAACATAGGCAGGGATAAACACCTATTGCCTCGGTAGTACAAAGGTAATTCGACCGACCGCAGGTGGTCAAATCGCGCATTGCAAGGCTTAAATATGTAATAAACATTTGCTTACTACCCTCTTTAAGCAACATAAGACATAAGCAAGAGCACCTATGTCCTTGACTACAATATTTCAAAGGTCTTCTTCGTGATAATTTGTCCTCGAATTTCTACCACCTACATACATGTATTATGTTCCTTTAAGACATCCACAAGAAGTCTCATCGTGTTAATTTTTGCTTCTTGTTGCGGCGGCGGCGCGTGCAGAAGTTCCTGGCGGGAAAGCAGCTGCTGGGGATGGTAGTGATGACCCGCTACAACCAGAGGACTTACAGGATCGACGACATCGCCTGGAGTACCACCGCCGCCAGCAAGTTCTCCTGCCAGGGGCAAGACATCACCTACATGGACTACTACCAGAAGGTTAGACGCGGGTGTGGTGACACTGGTGTGGTGATGCAGGGGTGGTGATGCAGGTGGCGTCTATGAGGTGGGGACTGTCTTCGTGAGGAGACCTTCCGAGACGGGGTGAGCAGGCACTGGTAAAGAAGCCGGGTGTGGGTGTGGGGGGCTTCAGAGGTCTGGGTTCGGGTGGCGGGGGCGGTGAAGGGAGTGTGGCTGAGGTGGCTTCCTGAAACAAATGAAAACCTCAATGTCCAACCACTTGGGCTGGACGGTAGAGCGATGGTCTCGCTTCCAGCACATCGGCGTACAATCCCCGACCGTCCAATTGGTTGGCCCCAGTGACGGATATTCTCAAGAACTCTTTGAGTTACTTCAACTCTTTCTTTCCCTCCAGACGTACCAAGTGGCCATCAGGGACCCCCATCAACCACTCCTCATGTCGAAACCAAGAAAAAAGGACTTGCGTCGAGGCATAAGCAGCATCTACCTGATCCCGGAGCTGTGTGTGCCCACGGGACTCTCAGATGAGATGCGTCGCGACAACAACCTCATGAAGGACTTCGCCACCTGGACGCGGATGGCACCGGACAAAAGGGTGTTGGCCATCAGAAAGTTTAACGCTAAGCTCTTCGAGAACCAGCAGGTGTGAGACTGATCTTCCTCTACGTAAATCCCTTTCAAGGTGGAGGGTTCCAGACACCTGGCATTGATATATAATTATAGTACATATAATATAATTTGCATAGGCAGTATTTTGTGATTAAGAGCAGAGAAAATACATTGGTCAGTTTCAATAGAAAATAGCTATAGAGACGGCTCTGTGATGTGATGGCTCTGTAATGTGATGGCTCTGTAATGTGATGGCTCTGTGATGTGATGGCTCTGTGATGTGATGGCTCTGCAATGTGATGGCTCTGTGATGTGATGGCTCTGTGATGTGATGGCTCTGTGATGTGATGGGTAAGTGATGTGATGGCTCTGTGATGTGATGGCTCTGTGATGTGATGGGTCAGTGATGTGATGGTGGACTGTGATGTGAGGGCTCTGTGATGTGATGGCTCTGTGATGTGATGGCTCTGTAATGTGATAGCTCTGTAATGTGATGACTCTGTGATGTGATGGCTCTGTGATGTGACGGCTCTGTATTGTGATGGCTCTGTGATGTGATGGCTCTGTGATGTGATGACTCTGTGATGTGATGGCTCTGTGATGTGATGGCTCTGTGATGTGATGGCTCTGTGACGTGATGGCTCTGTGATGTGATGGCTCTGTGACGTGATGGCTCTGTGATGTGATGGCTCTGTCATGTTATAGCTCTGTGATGTAATGGCTCTGTGATATGATGTGATGGCTCTGTGATGTGATGGCTCTGTGATGTGATGGCTCTGTAATGTGATGGCTCTGTGATGTGATGGCTCTGTAATGTGATGACTCTGTGATGTGATGGCTCTGTGATGTGACGGCTCTGTAATGTGATGGCTCTGTGATGTGATGGCTCTGTGATGTGATGACTCTGTGATGTGATGGCTCTGTGATGTGATGGTTCTGTGATGTGATGGCTCTCTGATGTGATGGCTCTGTGATGTGACGGCTCTGTGATGTGATGGCTCTGTGATGTGATGGCTCTGTAATGTGATGGCTCTGTGATGTGATGTGATGGCTCTGTGATGTGATGGCTCTGTGATGTGATGGCTCTGTAATGTGATGGCTCTGTGATGTGATGGTGGACTGTGATGGCTCTGTGATGTGATTGCTCTGTGATGTGATGACTCTGTAATGTTATGGCTCTGTGATGTGATGGCTCTGTGATGTGATGGCTCTGTGATGTAATGGCTCTGTGATGTGATGTGATGGCTCTGTGATGTGATGGCTCTGTGATGTGATTGCTCTGTGATGTGATGACTCTGTGATGTTATGGCTCTGTGATGTGATGGCTCTGTGATGTGATGGCTCTGTGATGTAATGGCTCTGTGATGTGATGTGATGGCTCTGTGATGTGATGGCTCTGTGATGTGATTGCTCTGTGATGTAATGGCTCTGTGATGTGATTGCTCTGTAATGTGATGGTTCTGTGATGTGATGGTGGACTGTGATGGCTCTGTGGTGTGATGGCTCTGTAATGTGATAGCTCTGTGATGTGATGGCTCTGTGATGTGATGGCTCTGTGATGTGATGGCTCTGTGATGTTATGGCTCTGTAATGTGATGGCTCTGTGATGTGGTGGCTCTGTGATGTGATGGCTCTGTGATGTGGTGGCTCTGTGATGTGATGGCTCTGTGATGTGGTGGCTCTGTGATGTGGTGGCTCTGTGATGTGATAGTTCTGTGATGTGATAGCTCTGTGATGTGATGGCTCTGTGATGTGATGGCTCTGTGATGTTATGGCTCTGTAATGTGATGGCTCTGTGATGTGGTGGCTCTGTGATGTGATGGCTCTGTGATGTGATGGCTCTGTGATGTTATGGCTCTGTAATGTGATGGCTCTGTGGTGTGATGGCTCTGTGATGTGATGGCTCTGTGATGTGATAGCTCTGTGATGTGATGGCTCTGTGATGTGATGGCTCTGTGATGTTATGGCTCTGTAATGTGATGGATCTGTGATGTGGTGGCTCTGTGATGTGATGGCTCTGTGATGTGGTGGCTCTGTGATGTGGTGGCTCTGTGATGTGGTGGCTCTGTGATGTGATGGCTCTGTAATGTGATGGCTCTGTGACGTGATGGTGGACTGTGATGTGGTGGCTCTGTGATGTGATGGCTCTGTAATGTGATGGCTTTGTGACGTGATGGTGGACTGTGATGTGATGGTTCTGTGATGTGATGGCTCTGTGACGTGATGGTGGACTGTGATGTGGTGGCTCTGTGATGTGATGGCTCTGTAATGTGATGGCTTTGTAATGTGATGGCTCTGTGATGTGATGGCTCTGTGATGTGATGGCTCTGTGATGTGGTGGCTCTGTGATGTGGTGGCTCTGTGATGTGATAGCTATGTGATGTGATGGCTCTGTAATGTGATGGCTTTGTAATGTGATGGCTTTGTAATGTGATGGCTCTGTGATGTGATGGCTCTGTGATGTGATGGCTCTGTGATGTGATGGCTCTGTGATGTGATGGCTCTGTGATGTGGTGGCTCTGTGATGTGATAGCTATGTGATGTTATGGCTCTGTAATGTGATGGCTTTGTAATGTGATGGCTCTGTGATGTGATGGCTCTGTGATGTGATGGCTCTGTGATAGCCCCAGCTCCTACTCCGGTGTCACTGCCGCAGGTGAGGGCGGAGCTGCAAGAGTGGGGTCTGCGGTTCTCCCAAACACTGTGTCAGGTGCGGGGACGAGTTCTGCCAGGAGAGGTCATCACCCAGGGCGGACGCACCTTCACCTACGACACCAACGAGGCCGACTGGTACAAGAACGTCAAAGGTGAGCGCATTTAAGTACACACTAAGGGTGAGTGGCTACCTTGAGGTTCAAGTTCAAGTATGTTTATTGAGATAAGCAATAAATACATCTCAAAGGGATAGAGTAGCTTAGGCTATTTCTACCCCCCGAGCCTTGAGGTTACCTTGAGGTGTTTCCGGGGGTTTAGCGTCCCCGCGGCCCGGTCGTCGACCAGGCCTCCTCGGTGGCCACCACATCTTGCCCCATAATCCTGGAGTAGGTCAATAGGAACCTATATGGAGTACCTATTGACCCATATGGGGGTGCGACGCGCCTCTGATCGTCCCACAAACACAGCGGAGACTGTTGTGCTTGGCCTGGAGCTTAATATATATTTACTCACTCTTATTAATGGTCGGCACTAGTTTCTACGTGATTGGTCTTTGTATGATAGTATGATGATTGATTGAATTACTGGTGTCGATTTTACTGTACCTCAGAGTGCATGATAGAGCTGATGATGTTTTCTTTATTATAAAATTCCATATAAATACAAATAAAAGGCATGATACTATAGCACCAGAACTCAGTCTCCGTGGTGTAGTGGTAAGACACTCGCCTGGCGTTCCGCGAGCGCTATGTCATGGGTTCGTATCCTGGCCGGGGAGGATTTACTGGGCGCAATTCCTTAACTGTAGCCTCTGTTTAACGCAACAGTAAAATGTGTACTTGGATGAAAAAACGATTCTTCGCGGCAGGGGATCGTATTCCAGGGACCATAGGATTAAGGACTTGCCCGAAACGCTACACGTACTAGTGGCTGTACAAGAATGTAACAACTCTTGTATATATCTCAAAAAAAAACTGTACCAAACACCACAGGATACAACACCAGCAACACTGTACCAAACACCACAGGACACAACACCAGCAACACTGTACCAAACACCACAGGACACAACACCAGCAACACTGTACCAAACACCACAGGACACAACACCAGCAACACTGTACCAAACACCACAGGACACAACACCAGCAACACTGTACCAAACACCACAGGACACAACACCAGCAACACTGTACCAAACACCACAGGACACAACACCAGCAACACTGTACCAAACACCACAGGACACAACACCAGCAACACTGTACCAAACACCACAGGACACAACACCAGCAACACTGTACCAAACACCACAGGACACAACACCAGCAACACTGTACCAAACACCACAGGACACAACACCAGCAACACTGTACCAAACACCACAGGACACAACACCAGCAACACTGTACCAAACACCACAGGATACAACACCAGCAACACTGTACCAAACACCACAGGATACAACACCAGCAACACTGTACCAAACACCACAGGACACAACACCAGCAACACTGTACCAAACACCACAGGACACAACACCAGCAACACTGTACCAAACACCACAGGACACAACACCAGCAACACTGTACCAAACACCACAGGACACAACACCAGCAACACTGTACCAAACACCACAGGACACAACACCAGCAACACTGTACCAAACACCACAGGATACAACACCAGCAACACTGTACCAAACACCACAGGATACAACACCAGCAACACTGTACCAAACACCACAGGATACAACACCAGCAACACTGTACCAAACACCACAGGATACAACACCAGCAACAGAGCACCATTCCAATACATAACATATACACCAAACAAAGACATAAAAATATAACACCATGGAAATACCAGTACTCGAACCAGGGACCAGATTCACGAAAGTACTTAAGCAAGCACTTACGAACCTATACATCTTTTCTCAATTTTTAGCGGCGTTGTTTACAATTATTAAACAGTTAATGAGCTCGGAAGCACCAGGAGGCTGTTTATAACAATAACAACAGTTGATTGGCAAGTTTTCATGCTTGTAAACTGTTTAATAAATGTAACTAAAGCCGTCAAAGATTGAGGAAAGATGTACACGTTCGTAAGTGCTTGCGTAAGTGCTTTCGTGAATCTGGGGCCAGGGCACAGTGCAAATGCGCGCATAAAAGGGGAACAGAACTACTCTAGTAAGACACTGTTAAGGCACTGCAAAGACAGAACCAGGCCCACACAACACGTAAATACATAATACACAAAAGAAAATAAACACACACACAAAGGCCCTCAACAGAGGCCGGTACCACCACCTGACCTAGAAAATATATGGAAAATATACCAAAATAAGTCCCAACAAGGGACACGGACAAAAAAAAAACACAGAAAGCCATGGAAAAATGTAACGGAAAAAGAAAACACACAATAAGCCCCAACAAGGAAAAGTGTAAAAAGATAAAATAGTACAACTGACCGCGGTCAGAAGAGTGGCAAGCACAAGAACGGAATGAACACATTCCAAAATCAGAACTGTATCATGCACACTACGCAAGCACAGTTTAGTCGAATCAAGCAAGAAGGGGATCGATATTCCTCCGCCCCTCGCAACAGGACAAACTCACACGGAATATAACAAGAAACCACAGACACACAAGACATTCAAGGCAAGCAACAAACGGAGAAGAATACACACACACACACACGCGCTAGCTCAAGCGAAGTCATAGCTCCAAAAAACCAAGTCTGGGCGCCCTGACGGTGACGGATAATCTCGTTGAACCCTGAATAGCTTCGAAGAAGGGGAGTTCCCTAGGGAAGGATCGACAGGCCTGATCTTCAATACCAAACGGCCATCGGCACCAGTCGGAACCCTCACAGCTCGACCCACCCTAACAGGAGGGCCCCCAGGCCAGTACGAGGGAGGGACCTATCTCACCACATTCCGACTCTGCTACAAACAGTCTCATCCAGCACACCCCGCTAACCTTCACTTGTTCCACACAATCATGGGAACGCATCCAGGCAGCTTTTCTCCTCCGCCTCTGCTCTGGCACCAGCGGAGCCAGACCCAACGCTTCTTGAACTCGTCATGGGGGGACGCACAGCTTTCATTGGCAAGGCAGCCGGAGACGCCTCCAGAGACGAGAGGGACACCCTCACCTCTAGAGGCCCCACTGGCGGGACATGTTGACCAGATCTCCTTTCCAAAGCAGATGGTGGACGTCTCCTAGGGAGCTGCTCCACCACCACAACAGCCGGCACACTGTGTACCGCCACATTCAGCTGCACACACAGCCCCGCAGGCGTATCCTCAACCACACACACCAGCAGACCGGCGAGCCTTGGTAGCACAGGACGCTCCACCGGCTCTCCGCATGCATCTGGGAGCAGCCAACAGAGACCCTATTCACCCACACACTTAACACCTTCCCCAACACCCCACCGTCATTTCAAACAGGGCACCACGCACCGCCACGTACGTCAATTTCACACTCAAGTTGACCACCCATACAGTGCCAGCTCCATCAGGCGGAGGGAAAGAGCAACCCTCACACTGATCGTGGAACATCGGGAACACATCTTGTCATATAAATCTGACCACCACACGGCGGTCTTGAATTATCTGCACTCCCACCAAATTCGCCAACGTTACACTGAGCGCCTCCACTAACGCAATACCAACCGCTGTATGATCTACCGGCGTAGAAAACTCAAGTCCAGCTGAAGACGTCCGCTAAAGTTCAGACAAAGGCGACCCTATCATGGAACAACAGACCCCATCCAGGGTACCACACAGGGCACGGGACAGACTCAGACATCCACCGACTCCACGCCTCGGTCGTCAACTGAGGAGCAACACGTAAGCATGACCGCCCCCTCTGGTGGCCAGTTACCGAATCAATATACTCAACAAATTTCCCATTATTTGTATTCAATATGAGTTAGCCAGAGAATGTGCCTTTAAAGGAGACATGTGAGTATAACCTTGGATTGCCTATAAGCTGTCTGAGAGCATTAGTACACCAAGAACATCAACACAACCCATCACATTAACTCTCAGCAAAATTAAATCATATATAATGTTTCTGCCAGATGATTGAAATTTAGACTAATATTTTATAAAGGCAATATTTCCATCTCCTCGCCCCTCCTCGCCCCTCCTCACGCCTCACTGTCCTCGCCCCTCCTCACGCCTCACTGTCCTCACCCCTCCTCACGCCTCACTGTCCTCACCCCTCCTCACGCCTCACTGTCCTCGCCCCTCCTCACGCCTCACTGTCCTCGCCCCTCCTCACGCCTCATTGTCCTCACCCCTCCTCACGCCTCACTGTCCTCACCCCTCCTCACTGTCCTCGCCCCTCCTCACGCCTCACTGTCCTCACCCCTCCTCACGCCTCACTGTCCTCACCCCTCCTCACGCCTCACTGTCCTCACCCCTCCTCACGCCTCACTGTCCTCACCCCTCCTCACGCCTCACTGTCCTCACCAGATGTGCCGATGAATGTGTGTCAGAAGCTGACCAACTGGGTGCTGGTGTTCCCCGCCAAGCTTAAGCAGGAGGCTGACGACCTGCTCTCTGGGCTCCGTCGGGTAGGCCGCTCCCTCAATCTGGTGGTGGCCCAGCCAAAACTGTGAGTGTCTGGTGGTGGCCCAGCCATAACTGTGTCTGGTGGCGGCCCAGCCAAAACTGTGAGTGTCTGGTGGTGGCCCAGCCAAAACTGTGAGTGTCTGGTGGTGGCCCAGCCATAACTGTGTCTGGTGGTGGCCCAGCCATAACTGTGTCTGGTGGTGGCCCAGCCATAACTGTGTCTGGTGGTGGCCCAGCCATAACTGTGTCTGGTGGTGGCCCAGCCATAACTGTGTCTGGTGGTGGCCCAGCCATAACTGTGTCTGGTGGTGGCCCAGCCAAAACTGTGTCTGGTGGTGGCCCAGCCATAACTGTGTCTGGTGGTGGCCCAGCCATAACTGTGTCTGATGGTGGCCCAGCCATAACTGTGTCTGGTGGTGGCCCAGCCATAACTGTGTCTGGTGGTGGCCCAGCCATAACTGTGTCTGGTGGTGGCCCAGCCATAACTGTGTCTGGTGGTGGCCCAGCCATAACTGTGTCTGGTGGTGGCCCAGCCATAACTGTGTCTGGTGGTGGCCCAGCCATAACTGTGTCTGATGGTGGCCCAGCCATAACTGTGTCTGGTGGTGGCCCAGCCATAACTGTGTCTGGTGGTGGCCCAGCCAAAACTGTGTCTGGTGGTGGCCCAGCCATAACTGTGTCTGGTGGTGGCCCAGCCATAACTGTGTCTGGTGGTGGCCCAGCCATAACTGTGTCTGGTGGTGGCCCAGCCAAAACTGTGTCTGGTGGTGGCCCAGCCATAACTGTGTCTGGTGGTGGCCCAGCCATAACTGTGTCTGGTGGTGGCCCAGCCATAACTGTGTCTGGTGGTGGCCCAGCCAAAACTGTGTCTGGTGGTGGCCCAGCCATAACTGTGTCTGGTGGTGGCCCAGCCATAACTGTGTCTGCTGGTGGCCCAGCCATAACTGTGTCTGGTGGTGGCCCAGCCATAACTGTGTCTGGTGGTGGCCCAGCCATAACTGTGTCTGGTGGTGGCCCAGCCATAACTGTGTCTGATGGTGGCCCAGCCATAACTGTGTCTGGTGGTGGCCCAGCCATAACTGTGTCTGGTGGTGGCCCAGCCATAACTGTGTCTGGTGGTGGCCCAGCCATAACTGTGTCTGGTGGTGGCCCAGCCATAACTGTGTCTGGTGGTGGCCCAGCCATAACTGTGTCTGGTGGTGGCCCAGCCATAACTGTGTCTGATGGTGGCCCAGCCATAACTGTGTCTGGTGGTGGCCCAGCCATAACTGTGTCTGGTGGTGGCCCAGCCATAACTGTGTCTGGTGGTGGCCCAGCCATAACTGTGTCTGGTGGTGGCCCAGCCATAACTGTGACTGTCCCCTAGCCCCAGCCAGACACCTCCCCCTAGCCCTCCTAACCCCCCAGCCCCCACACACCCCTCCAGCCCCCACACACCCCTCCAGCCCCCACACACCCCTCCAGCCCCCACACACCCCTCCAGCCCCAACACACCCCTAGCCCCCACACACCCCCCCCCCAAGCCCCACACCTCCCTCAGCCCCCCCCCCAGCCCCAACACACCCCAGCCCCCACACCCCCCCCCCCAACCCCCACACCCCTCCAGCCCCCACACACCCACAGCCCCCACACACCCCCCCCAAGCCCCACACCTCCCTCAGCCCCCCCCCAGCCCCAACACACCCCAGCCCCCACACCCCCCCCCCAACCCCCACACCCCTCCAGCCCCCACACACCCCTAGCCCCCACACACCCCCCCCAAGCCCCACACCTCCCTCAGCCCCCCCCCCAGCCCCAACACACCCCAGCCCCCACACCCCCCCCCAACCCCCACACCCCTCCAGCCCCCACACACCCACAGCCCCCACACCCACAGCCCCCACACACCCCCCCCCCCCAAGCCCCACACCTCCCTCAGCCCCCCCCAGCCCCAACACACCCCAGCCCCCACACCCCCCCCCAACCCCCACACCCCTCCAGCCCCCACACACCCCCAGCCCCCACACACCCCCAACCCCCCAAAGCCCCCACACACCCCCAGCCCCCACACACCCCCCCCAAGCCCCACACCTCCCTCAGCCCCCCCCAGCCCCAACACACCCCAGCCCCCACACCCCCCCCCCCAACCCCCACACCCCTCCAGCCCCAACACACCACAGCCCCCACACACACCCCCCCAAAGCCCCCACACCTCCCTCAGCCCCCCCACCAGCCCCAACACACCCCTGCCCACACACCCCCCCCAAGCCCCACACCTCCCTCAGCCCCCCCCAAGCCCCACACCTCCCTCAGCCCCCCCCCCAAGCCCCACACCTCCCTCAGCCCCCCCCCCCCAGCCCCTAAACAAGAGTGCACGTGTCCCGACAGGGAGTGCGTGTACCAGGACCTGGTCCAGGAGTACGTGCGAGCGGTGGGGCGGCACGAGGGCGTGCAGCTGGTGCTCTGCGTCCTCCCCAACTCCAAGCTGGACAGGTACGCCGCCGTCAAGAAGCACGCCTCGGTGGCCATGGGCGTGCCCTCGCAGGTGAGGAGGGTATGTGGGAGGGTATGTGGGTTGAGGGTGGGTATGTGGGGGTGAGGGAGGGTATGTGGGGGTGAGGGAGGGTATGTGGGTTGAGGGTGGGTATGTGGGGGTGAGGAAGGGGTATGTGGAGGGGAGGGAGGGGTATGTGGAGGTGAGGGAGGGGTATGTGGGAGTGAGGGAGAGGTATGTGCGGGTGAGGGAAGGGTATGTGGGGGTGAGGGAGGGTATGTGGAGGTGAGGGAGGGTATGTGGGGGTGAGGGAGGGTATGTGGAGGTGAGGGAGGGTATGTGGGGGTAAGGGTGGGTATGTGGGGGCGAGGGAGGGTATGTGAAGGTGAGAGGAGGGCATGTAGGGGGTGAGGGGTGGGTATGTGGAGGTGAGGGAGGGTATGTGGGAGCGAGGGAGAGGTATGTGGGGGTGAGGGAGGGGTATGTGGGGGGTGAGGGAGGGATATATGGGAGTGAGGAAGGGTATATAGGGATGAGGGAGGGGTATGTAGGGGGTGAGGGAGGGTATGTGGGGTACACTCATCTCCACTCATCCTGGGGTATAACCAGCCTGATACTCCTGCACAGATGGTGTTAGGAAGGAGTCTGCAGAACAAGGGCAGGATGATGAGTATTATAACCAAGATCGCTATCCAGATCAACTGCAAGTTGGGCGGCGAGGCCTGGAACGTCCAGATCCCATTCCAGGTTAGCTTTATCCTGTCTTGGGGCAGCTTTATCCTGTCTTGGGGCAGCTTTATCCTGTCTTGGGGCAGCTTTATCCTGTCTTGGGGCAGCTTTATCCTGTCTTGGAGTAGCTTTATCCTGTCTTGGGGCAGCTTTATCCTGTCTTGGGGTAGCTTTATCCTGTTTTGGGTAGCTTTATCCTGTCTTGGGGCAGCTTTATCCTGTCTTGGGGCAGCTTTATCCTGTCTTGGGGCAGCTTTATCCTGTTTTGGGTAGCTTTATCCTGTCTTGGGGCAGCTTTATCCTGTCTTGGGGCAGCTTTATCCTGTTTTGGGTAGCTTTATCCTGTCTTGGGGCAGCTTTATCCTGTCTTGGGGCAGCTTTATCCTGTCTTGGGGTAGCTTTATCCTGTTTTGGGTAGCTTTATCCTGTCTTGGGGCAGCTTTATCCTGTCTTGGGGTAGCTTTATCCTGTTTTGGGTAGCTTTATCCTGTCTTGGGGCAGCTTTATCCTGTCTTGAGGCAGCTTTATCCTGTCTTGGGGCAGCTTTATCCTGTCTTGGGGCAGCTTTATCCTGTCTTGGGGCAGCTTTATCCTGTTTTGGGTAGCTTTATCCTGTCTTGGGGCAGCTTTATCCTGTCTTGGGGTAGCTTTATCCTGTCTTGGGGCAGCTTTATCCTGTCTTTTTATCCTGTCTTGGGGCAGCTTTATCCTGCTTTATCCTGTCTTGGGGCAGCTTTATCCTGTCTTGGGGCAGCTTTATCCTGTTTTGGGTAGCTTTATCCTGTCTTGGGGCAGCTTTATCCTGTCTTGGGGCAGCTTTATCCTGTCTTGGGGCAGCTTTATCCTGTCTTGGGGCAGCTTTATCCTGTCTTGGGGCAGCTTTATCCTGTCTTGGGGCAGCTTTATCCTGTCTTGGGGCAGCTTTATCCTGTCTTGGGGCACCTTTTTCCTGTCTTGGGGCAGCTTTATCCTGTCTTGGGGCAGCTTTATCCTGTCTTGGGGCAGCTTTATCCTGTCTTGGGGCAGCTTTATCCTGTCTTGGGGCAGCTTTATCCTGTCTTGGGGCAGCTTTATCCTGTTTTGGGTAGCTTTATCCTGTCTTGGGGCAGCTTTATCCTGTCTTGGGGCAGCTTTATCCTGTTTTGGGTAGCTTTATCCTGTTTTGGGTAGCTTTATCCTGTCTTGGGGCAGCTTTATCCTGTCTTGGGGTAGCTTTATCCTGTCTTGGGGCAGCTTTATCCTGTCTTGGGGTAGCTTTATCCTGTTTTGGGTAGCTTTATCCTGTCTTGGGGCAGCTTTATCCTGTCTTGGGGTAGCTTTATCCTGTTTTGGGTAGCTTTATCCTGTCTTGGGGCAACTTTATCCTGTCTTGGGGTAGCTTTATCCTGTCTTGGGGCAGCTTTATCCTGTCTTGGGGCAGCTTTATCCTGTCTTGGGGCAGCTTTATCCTGTCTTGGGGTAGCTTTATCCTGTCTTGGGGCAGCTTTATCCTGTCTTGGGGCAGCTTTATCCTGTCTTGGGGCAGCTTTATCCTGTCTTGGGGCAGCTTTATCCTGTCTTGGGGTAGCTTTATCCTGTCTTGGGGCAGCTTTATCCTGTTTTGGGGTAGCTTTATCCTGTCTTGGGGTAGCTTTATCCTGTCTTGGGGTAGCTTTATCCTGTCTTGGGGCAGCTTTATCCTGTCTTGGGGCAGCTTTATCCTGTCTTGGGGCAGCTTTATCCTGTTTTGGGGCAGCTTTATCCTGTCTTGGGGCAGCTTTATCCTGTCTTGGGGCAGCTTTATCCTGTCTTGGGGCAGCTTTATCCTGTCTTGGGGTAGCTTTATCCTGTCTTGGGGCAGCTTTATCCTGTTTTGGGGTAGCTTTATCCTGTCTTGGGGTAGCTTTATCCTGTCTTGGGGTAGCTTTATCCTGTCTTGGGGCAGCTTTATCCTGTTTTGGGGTAGCTTTATCCTGTCTTGGGGCAGCTTTATCCTGTCTTGGGGCAGCTTTATCCTGTTTTGGGTAGCTTTATCCTGTCTTGGGGCAGCTTTATCCTGTCTTGGGGTAGCTTTATCCTGTCTTGGGGCAGCTTTATCCTGTCTTGGGGCAGCTTTATCCTGTCTTGGGGTAGCTTTATCCTGTCTTGGGGCAGCTTTATCCTGTCTTGGGGCAGCTTTATCCTGTTTTGGGGTAGCTTTATCCTGTCTTGGGGCAGCTTTATCCTGTCTTGGGGTAGCTTTATCCTGTTTTGGGTAGCTTTATCCTGTCTTGGGGCAGCTTTATCCTGTCTTGGGGTAGCTTTATCCTGTCTTGGGGCAGCTTTATCCAGTCTTGGGGCAGCTTTATCCTGTCTTGGGGCAGCTTTATCCTGTTTTGGGTAGCTTTATCCTGTCTTGGGGCAGCTTTACCCTGTCTTGGGGTAGCTTTATCCTGTCTTGGGGCAGCTTTATCCTGTCTTGGGGTAGCTTTATCCTGTTTTGGGTAGCTTTATCCTGTCTTGGGGCAGCTTTATCCTGTCTTGGGGTAGCTTTATCCTGTCTTGGGGCAGCTTTATCCAGTCTTGGGGCAGCTTTATCCTGTCTTGGGGCAGCTTTATCCTGTTTTGGGTAGCTTTATCCTGTCTTGGGGCAGCTTTATCCTGTCTTGGGGCAGCTTTATCCTGTCTTGGGGCAGCTTTATCCTGTTTGGGTAGCTTTATCCTGTCTTGGGGCAGCTTTATCCTGTCTTGGGGCAGCTTTATCCTGTCTTGGGGCAGCTTTATCCTGTTTTGGGTAGCTTTATCCTGTCTTGGGGCAGCTTTATCCTGTCTTGGGGCAGCTTTATCCTGTTTTGGGTAGCTTTATCCTGTCTTGGGGTAGCTTTATCCTGTCTTGGGGTAGCTTTATCCTGTCTTGGGGCAGCTTTATCCTGTTTTGGGTAGCTTTATCTTGTCTTGGGGCAGCTTTATCCTGTCTTGGGGCAGCTTTATCCTGTCTTGGGGCAGCTTTATCCTGTCTTGGGGCAGCTTTATCCTGTCTTGGGGCAGCTTTATCCTGTCTTGGGGCAGCTTATGTGTGACTCTTCTTGTGTGACTCTCCTTGTGTGACTCTTCTTGTGTGACTCTCCTTGTGTGACTCTTTTTGTGTGACTCTCCTTGTGTGACTCTCCTTGTGTGACTCTCCTTGTGTGACTCTCCTTGTGTGACTCTTTTTGTGTGACTCTCCTTGTGTGACTCTTCTTGTGTGACTCTCCTTGTGTGACTCTTCTTGTGTGACTCTTCTTGTGTGACTCTCCTTGTGTGACTCTTTTTGGGTGACTCTCCTTGTGTGACTCTTCTTACATTGTAAGTTCATTCAGGCTCGCAACCCGTTCTCGCAAATTTAATAAGTCAATATTGACTTATTAAATATGTGCATAGGTGACATACTTAACATAATAGATACCCTTAAAAAGATTCATAGAAAACACCGACCTTACCTAACCTTGTTAGTATCTTAAGATAAGCATTTTATTGCTTCGTAATTACAATTATTACCTAACCTATAATAGTATAGGTTAAGTAATAATTGTAATTACGAAGCAATAAGGTGCTTATCTTAAGATACTAACAAGGTTAGGTAAGGTCGGTGTTTTCTATGAAGCTTTTTAAGGGTATCTATTATGTTTAGTATGTCACCTATGCACGTAGTTAATAAGTCAATATTGACTATACGAATTTGCGAGAACGGGTTGCTCAGGCTCTTCATGGCACTGCAAAAAAGTTACAGTTCCTATAAAATCTTCCAATCTACTTAAATATCATGTAGAAATCTTTTACCAACCCTAAAAAAAAATATTAAAAAATATAGGCTCCTAATTGTCCTGCAGTCAAGTCCACCAAATTTTCTTTAATTCCAAAAATTACATAATTATTATCTAAATCTCTTCAACGTAATCCGTAATCCCATTGATTATTGAGGGATCTATAATACATATTTTTTAATGGTGTGTGTGTGTGTGTGAGTGTGTGTGTGTGTGTGTGTGTGTGTGTGTGTGTGTGTGTGTGTGTGTGTGTGTGTGTGTGTGTGTGTGTGTGTGTGTGTGTGTGTGTACTCACCTAGTTGTGTTTGCGGGGGTTGAGCTCAGGCTCTTTGGTCCCGCCTCTCAACCGTCAATCAACAGGTGTACAGATTCCTGAGCCTATCGGGCTCTGTCATATCTACATTTGAAACTGTGTATGGAGTCAGCCTCCACCACATCACCCCCTAATGCATTCCATTTGTCAACCACTCTGACACTAAAAAAGTTCTTTGTGTGTGTGTGCGCGCGCAGAACACCATGGTGGTGGGCTACGACGCCTACCATGACAGCAGCAGGCGAGGGTCGTCGTGGGGCGCCGTGGTCGCCTCCTACAACAGGAACCTCACCCGCTACTACGGTCAGGTCTCCCGCCACGCCAACAACGAAGAGCTCACGGCCAATTTCTCCGCCTCCATACAGAGTGGGTACCTCGCCTGGCGAAACCTGTACATCTTGCTCCCCCCCCCCTCTCAATTATGTCGGCTTTGTTTACTTATATGAAACACTTCGCGAGCTTTGAGACTTCTTAAGCCAAGGTTATTGTTGCCATAAACAACCTCGTTGTATTTTTTGGAGTTCATAAATTGTTTATTAAATGTAAACACAGCCGCCATGATGGAGGATAGTAGTTTAGGTTTTACAAGTGGTTTTGTAAATTATTTTATGCTTCATGAATTCTGGTTGGGATATTACAAGATTCTGATGGCGTCTAACTTCCCTCAGAGGATCCAGGTGTAATTTATCACTCAGATGTACCTACACTCAGACTCACGTGTACCAACACTCAGGTGTACCAACACTCAGGTGTACCTGCCCTCAGACTGACGTGTACCAACACTCACGTGTACCAACACTCACGTGTACCAACACTCACGTGTACCAACACTCAGGTGTACCTGCCCTCAGATGCACTGTACCACTACGTGGAGGTTAACGCTCGGCTGCCAGAGCGCGTGGTGGTGTACAGAGACGGTGTGGGAGATGGCCAGCTTCACTACGTCAAGGGCGCCGAGATCGCTGCTATCAAGGTGAGAGGTGAGAGAGAGAGAGAGGGAGGGGGGGGAAGAACTGCAATATAATTGGTCTCACTGCAACATTGCATACATATGACCTCCTCCTCCCTTGCTTGCCACCGCCAGGCGTGCTTCAAGGCCAACAACTTCTCCCCGCGCTTCAGCTTCGTAGTGGTGACGAAGAGGATCAACACGAGACTCTTCGCGCAGGGCTCCACCAACGGCAGCCCCATCAACCCGCCTCCTGGCACCGTCTGCGACGACGTCATCACTCTACCAGAGAGGTACACAACCATGGCTGTCCCGTCAGACCTTAAGCTATGACGCACACTCTCTTCTCATATCACCAGTCGTACCTATGGCTATAGTGAACATATTAAATGTTATAATCAATGGCAAATTATAAGTTTTGTTCCGTCCTGTTCTCACATTAGGTGAGTTACCCCTTCACGGCCCTGTTCTCATATTAGGTGAGTTACCCTTTCACTTGAGCTCTTATCAGTTTTCTATTCACTCTTTGTTAATCATTCTCAGTTCCTTGAGTAATGTGTGTTGACGTACCTCAAGGATTAATGTCTTAGAACTTTTCTGACGTCTCATCCTTCTGCTTCTGACACTGTGGCGTGAGGAGTAACAACAACACTGTCCTTGCTGCGGTCTTGACACATAAACACAGCTTGGTGTGGCCCGCAGGTACGACTTCTACCTAGTGAGCCAGCGGGTGCTGCAGGGGACCGTCACCCCGACCTCCTACAACATCATCGACGACGTCAACTCCAACCTGGACGCCGACAGACATCAGCGACTGGCCTACAAGCTCACCTACCTCTACTACAACTGGATGGTGAGTGCTGCAGGGTGGGCTTCAGTGCTACAGGGGGAAGCTACAGTGCTACAGGGGGGGCTACAGTGCTACGAGGGGGCTACAGTGCTGCAGGGTGGGCTTCAGTGCTACAGGGGGGAGGTACAGTGCTACAGAGGGGCTACAGTAACTACAGACTAGCTTGAGAGAGGCTATCCAGCGGCATGACATAGGCAATAGCAGCTTACAAACGGGATGAACGAGTCTATCGCAACTTACACACGGGCTACACACGACTACAATTGGATTGGACACTTAACGGGGCTACAGGAGACTTATATAATAATTCCCTGATATAAAACCCCTAATAATAATATTAGGGGCTTAAAATGATATTATTTTAAATGCAGGGACACCACCCCCTCCCCCCACACTGTAGGCACACCCCCTCCCCCACACTGTAGGCACACCCCCCTCCCCCACACTGTAGGCACACCCCCTCCCCCACACTGTAGGCACACCCCCCTCCCCCACACTGTAGGCACACCCCATCCCCCCACACTGTAGGCACACCCCCTCCCCCACACTGTAGGCACACCCCCTCCCCCACACTGTAGGCACACCCCCTCCCCCACACTGTAGGCACACCCCCTCCCCCACACTGTAGGCACACCCCCTCCCCCACACTGTAGGCACACCCCCTCCCCCACACTGTAGGCACACCCCCTCCCCCACACTGTAGGCACACCCCCCTCCCCCACACTGTAGGCACACCCCCTCCCCCACACTGTAGGCACACCCCCCTCCCCCACACTGTAGGCACACCCCCTCCCCCACACTGTAGGCACACCCCCTCCCCCACACTGTAGGCACACCCCCTCCCCCACACTGTAGGCACACCCCCTCCCCCACACTGTAGGCACACCCCCTCCCCCACACTGTAGGCACACCCCCTCCCCCACACTGTAGGCACACCCCCTCCCCCACACTGTAGGCACACCCCCTCCCCCACACTGTAGGCACACCCCCTCCCCCACACTGTAGGCACACCCCCTCCCCCACACTGTAGGCACACCCCCTCCCCCACACTGTAGGCACACCCCCTCCCCCACACTGTAGGCACACCCCCTCCCCCACACTGTAGGCACACCCCCTCCCCCACACTGTAGGCACACCCCATCCCCCCACACTGTAGGCACACCCCCTCCCTTTGAGATTATTCCCCGTGGTATATAATGTTGATGTTATTTATTGGCGATAGCGATGACACTAACGCCTGATGTGGTGAAGGGTTAAATGTACTACTGGAGATGGTGATGACACTAACGCCAGATGTGGTGAAGAGTTAAATGTACTACTGGAGATGGTGATGACACTAACGCCAGATGTGGTGAAGGGTTAAATGTACTACTGGAGATGGTGATGACACTAACGCCAGATGTGGTGAAGGGTTAAATGTACTACTGGAGATGGTGATGACACTAACGCCAGATGTGGTGAAGGGTTAAATGTACTACTGGAGATGGTGATGACACTAACGCCAGATGTGGTGAAGGGTTAAATGTACTACTGGAGATGGTGATGACACTAACGCCAGATGTGGTGAAGAGTTAAATGTACTACTGGAGATGGTGATGACACTAACGCCAGATGTGGTGAAGGGTTAAATGTACTACTGGAGATGGTGATGACACTAACGCCAGATGTGGTGAAGGGTTAAATGTATTACTGGAGATGGTGATGACACTAACGCCTGATGTGGTGAAGAGTTAAATGTATTACTGGAGATGGTGATGACACTAACGCCTGATGTGGTGAAGGGTTAAATGTACTATTGGCGATAGCGATGACACTAACGCCTGTGTGGTGAAGGGTTAAATGCACTACTGGAGATGGTGATGACACTAACGCCTGATGTGGTGAAGAGTTAAATGTACTACTGGAGATGGTGATGACACTAACGCCTGATGTGGTGAAGAGTTAAATGTACTACTGGAGATGGTGATGACACTAACGCCTGATGTGGTGAAGAGTTAAATGTACTACTGGAGATGGTGATGACACTAACGCCTGATGTGGTGAAGGGTTAAATGCACTACTGGAGATGGTGATGACACTAATGTCAGATATACAAGTGACCTCAGTCATAAAGGACTGCACTAGCAACAAATAAATGCTGTAATGACAGCTTATTACTTTAAGACTGCACAGGGAAGCACAGAGTCGATGCCGGAGCCCAAATCCTTGGCACACCTTACCACTGGGTCGTGTGCTTCCGTAACTGCTGAAGGCAGTTGTCAGAGTAAATACTCGGTTCTCACACCAGTCATTTATAGCTTGATGTGTGTGGCTATGAAATTGGTTCGAATCCAAGTATCCAGAGCAACACCGATAATCACTTTCAAGCGTAATTACAGAGTTAATAATTGGTACAAAGGTCTTAGAAGGTGCGAACATATAGGCACTTCCCGCCAAACACACACCGAAACTACGACGTTGGTACAACGTTCGAACAAGTTTTAACACCTCCTAACCAGTTATAACAACCAATATAGCAAGTTGTAACAACGTTCTAATACGTCATAAACACGTTAAGCCAAGATGTAACAACTTTATTACAAGTTGTAACAAGCGGAAAATAGAGACAGTTTCGGTTTGTGTTTCCAGGGTTGTAGTTTCAACAATATCAATGTATTCATAAAACTTAATACTAGCGATATAAGGCATTTAACGTAACGTTTAACGCTACGTTAAAGTTTGTCGTGGCGCTGTCAAATCTAGGCAAGCCGGAAGAAACGCGCTTCAGACCCCTCGCGGTGCCAATATTAATTACACTTATACGGGCTCACCATAGCCCGTGCTACTTGGAACTTGCTCCGAATAGCTGAATCTGTAACAACACTTAACACAGTTAACACAGTTAACACTTAACACACTTAACACAGTTAACACAGTTAACACAGTTAACACTTAACACAGTTAACACAGTTAACACAGTGGGCGACCACTCAGACGGAAGTAGCAGCTCACCACGACTGCGACAATAACAATAACAAAACAGAACAACAGACAGACCTGTCACTGAGACAGGTCACTGTCACTGTCACTGAGACAGGTCACTGTCACTGTCACTGAGACAGGTCACTGTCACTGTCACTGAGACAGGTCACTGTCACTGAGACAGGTCACTGTCACTGTCACTGAGACAGGTCACTGTCACTGAGACAGGTCACTGTCACTGTCACTGTCACTGAGACAGGTCACTGTCACTGAGACAGGTCACTGTCACTGTCACTGAGACAGGTCACTGTCACTGTCACTGAGACAGGTCACTGTCACTGAGACAGGTCACTGTCACTGTCACTGAGACAGGTCACTGTCACTGTCACTGAGACAGGTCACTGTCACTGTCACTGAGACAGGTCACTGTCACTGAGACAGGTCACTGTCACTGAGACAGGTCACTGTCACTGTCACTGAGACAGGTCACTGTCACTGTCACTGAGACAGGTCACTGTCACTGAGACAGGTCACTGTCACTGAGACAGGTCACTGTCACTGAGACAGGTCACTGTCACTGAGACAGGTCACTGTCACTGTCACTGAGACAGGTCACTGTCACTGTCACTGAGACAGGTCACTGTCACTGAGACAGGTCACTGTCACTGTCACTGAGACAGGTCACTGTCACTGTCACTGAGACAGGTCACTGTCACTGAGACAGGTCACTGTCACTGTCACTGAGACAGGTCACTGTCACTGTCACTGAGACAGGTCACTGTCACTGTCACTGAGACAGGTCACTGTAACTGTCACTGAGACAGGTCACTGTCACTGAGACAGGTCACTGTCACTGAGACAGGTCACTGTCACTGTCACTGAGACAGGTCACTGTCACTGTCACTGAGACAGGTCACTGTCACTGTCACTGAGACAGGTCACTGTCACTGTCACTGAGACAGGTCACTGTCACTGTCACTGAGACAGGTCACTGTCACTGTCACTGAGACAGGTCACTGTCACTGTCACTGAGACAGGTCACTGTCACTGAGACAGGTCACTGAGACAGGTCACTGTCACTGAGACAGGTCACTGTCACTGAGACAGGTCACTGTCACTGTCACTGAGACAGGTCACTGTCACTGAGACAGGTCACTGTCACTGTCACTGAGACAGGTCACTGTCACTGTCACTGAGACAGGTCACTTTCACTGTCACTGAGACAGGTCACTGTCACTGTCACTGAGACAGGTCACTGTCACTGTCACTGAGACAGGTCACTGTCACTGAGACAGGTCACTGTCACTGTCACTGAGACAGGTCACTGTCACTGTCACTGAGACAGGTCACTTTCACTGTCACTGAGACAGGTCACTGTCACTGTCACTGAGACAGGTCACTGTCACTGTCACTGAGACAGGTCACTGTCACTGAGACAGGTCACTGTCACTGTCACTGAGACAGGTCACTGTCACTGTCACTGAGACAGGTCACTGTCACTGTCACTGAGACAGGTCACTGTCACTGTCACTGAGACAGGTCACTGTCACTGTCACTGAGACAGGTCACTGTCACTGTCACTGAGACAGGTCACTGTCACTGTCACTGAGACAGGTCACTGTCACTGAGACAGGTCACTGTCACTGAGACAGGTCACTGTCACTGTCACTGAGACAGGTCACTGTCACTGTCACTGTCACTGTCACTGAGACAGGTCACTGTCACTGTCACTGAGACAGGTCACTGTCACTGAGACAGGTCACTGTCACTGTCACTGAGACAGGTCACTGTCACTGAGACAGGTCACTGTCACTGTCACTGAGACAGGTCACTGTCACTGAGACAGGTCACTGTCACTGTCACTGAGACAGGTCACTGTCACTGTCACTGAGACAGGTCACTGTCACTGTCACTGTCACTGAGACAGGTCACTGTCACTGTCACTGTCACTGAGACAGGTCACTGTCACTGTCACTGAGACAGGTCACTGTCACTGTCACTGAGACAGGTCACTGTCACTGTCACTGAGACAGGTCACTGTC